CCCCGCCGCGCCGACGCACTCAAACAATCTGTATATATCATCCTCATCATTCCCATAATCCCCACCAACCCCACCAACCCCACCATCCCCACCATCCCCATAATCCCCACCATCCCCACCATCCCTACAATCCCCATTATAATCATCGCCGCTGTCCCCACTACCATCCCCGTGGTCATCATCATCGTCAGGCGGTGGATTATGACCACGAGACCCAAAATATGACAGTTTCCACTTAAGCCCCCCCCATACCCCCGGCACCCCCTGTACATAAGCAATAGCTAGCATTCCCCAGACCATCCTAAGGACGCGAAATCTCCATGCAACACGAAAAAGCCACACCCATTTTTTCCCAACGTAGACAATCGCCCCCAAACCTCTGCCCCAGACCCACGCACCGAGACCGCAGATGACAACAGCAGGCCTTGGCAACTGGAATGAAATGAGAAGAAAGAGCAAGTACCCCCAGACGTAATCCTCCCTCCGCCCCCTCCTTACCAGAAGCCCGGCCATTGCAGCGAGTACCAGCAACACCCTCGGCCAACCTAGAGAACTCCCGCGCAAGAACATACCGACATCAACCCCAGCCGTCCAATGCCGCCAAAGCACCTCATAAACATCTGCGAACCCATCTGGATACACATGCGCGAGCACCAGTCCCAGAGGGCAGGAAATCAGCGGGATGTGTCCATACTCGAGTACATGCTGGGAGAAGTAGTGCCATAGCCCGTCAATGAATGTCTTCAGCAGGGCGAGCTTGAATATCGGGACGCGATTCGCCCACCACCAAAGCACCACTGGCGCCTGCGCTGCGAAGAAACTTATCCAGCGACTCCGCGCGTAGCCCGTTAATGTCAGGTAGGAGAATAGCATCATGAGTAGGAGCTTGCTGGGCCATTCTAGAGTTGAGATGAAGGGCAGCCAGGGGAATATCCAGAGGCCGAATGTGGCGCTTGAGAGGAGGAAATAGGCTAGGTATGGGGGATATTCTCCTGCGATTCTTGGGGGTTCGGGGGCCTATACCATGATTTCAGTGTTAATGGGGGGGTTAGGAATTTCTAGAGGGGGATTGCCTCACATCTTCATTATTTTGCTCCATTGCCTAGCGTAGCGTAGCTGGTTCGGCTACAGGCCCTTCGAGTACGGCTATTTATTTTTTATTTGTGGGTTGGTGCTTGTTGACGAACGAACGAAGAGTGTGGGATATAAAGCTGTTTTAAACAAAGGTTAGTTGTTTAAGCACGGCTGGGGGGGGGGTATCACCATTTTCTCGCTTCTTTGACACTATCCGGGAGTTCATAATGCCCTTGTGGGAAAAATGTCGATGTCTGGCAATAGGTAATTTGTTGTAAGTCATCTTTTGATATTTCCCGGTGTATATTTTGATTGTCTGTATATCCACAGCAGTCGTGTCTTTGTTCGATGAGCCAGAACAAAGAGAAATGGGAACCCCCTCAAACGACAGCCCACACGCCCCTTGCAACACAACGCCACTTTATCATTTACCAATCACTCCTCTCTCAGGCAGCAAGCCGAGTATTTCTCAAACTCCCAAGCCAACCGTTCCCGTGACGAAATGCGTCTTTCAATCCACTGTGTCAATAGACGTGACTACGTATTTTAAGCCCTCGCCAAAGATCCAAAATCAAAGGAAATCCCCCCTGTATAATATATACTCCATAGATGTATAAAATGTTCTGATCTGGCCCAAAATAATCAATATAACCGTTCCATCCCAAAAACGAAAAATTGTGTTGGCAAAACGAATCAAAGTAAACTAACTGATGGGGTACGGTATGAGACGAAATTCAAGCCGGAGTTGGAAGCGGGGGCTCGGAATACGGTGGACATAATGAGCATGTACTTGGGGGTGAACTTGCTTCTATCGTCCCCAAAGCTAGCCAGTCATTCTATGAGTGAAAAACTGCTCGATGCTGATCAAATTTGGTAGGGGAATTATGTTTGTCTGTGTGTGTGTGTGGAATGGTCTTCGAGTGCTCGAGAGAGTGATTTCAACTTATTCTGTGATGATTCGCCCATTCGGGAAATACCTTAAATCGGCCTCGCTTTTTCTCGGGCTGGCAAGGGTACTCGCATCGCACGAGTAACTTAATTCTTGTGCTCGATTGTGAGAAGTTAGTACAGATGGTTTGCTCGAGTATCATACCTTGGTCAATGAGATCTAAAGAGGTCGAATATTTAGTGATTGGTATGATACTGCTGTTGCTGTGTCTCCAAGCATACCGTAGTAATTTATCGTTGACCAACAACCCAATCATTAATAAAGTTATAGTCAATAAGTCTGTACACACACCCCCCCACACACCTTCACCACATATTTCAACCGCAACGTAAATCAATCAATTATACAACCAAAACTGAACCTAAAAATACAATGAAAATACAGATAGAGAGCCATTTCCATGGTGTTTAATACTTGGTGTACCATCCCCGATTTTTTCGCACTGCGTAGTAGCGCCTGGGCATTGAATTGATCAAGTGGTCGATCAACTCTTCAGGGACTGCCCACCATGCCGCCTTCAGCGCCATGATGAAAATCACTCTACTTGGTGCATTATCTTTGAGGTCTTTCAAGTATCCATGATTCTTTCGAAGAATACTCTTCATGGCTTTCCAGACATGCTCAATCGGGTTTAAATCCGGACTATGTGGAGGGTGTTCGGGGACCCAGATGCCATGTGATTCAAACCACTCCTTAGTGATCTTTGCAGTGTGAATTTTCGCGTTATCTTGCAAAAAGAATTTCCCAGGAGCATAATGAGGCAATAAACCATCCTCCAAGACCTGAATATAGGAGCGCGCGCTATATCCATTCTTTGCAGAGTCCTCATCACGTTGCATGACCTGCAATTCTGACCACCCCCCCTTCCAGATGGCCCCCCAAACCATAAACGAGAGTGAAGACTTAACATGTTCACTCTCGTTGACAGCCCATTGCTTCCATTTATCCCTTGGAAGTCGAAAAACCCATCCATCGGGAGAATTGGGGGAGTTTTGCATGGAAGATTCATCACTGTAGATGCCCTAGAAAAAACCTTAGCGAGGATCATCTAAGAAGGAACTGACACTTGTCCGCACCTTCAACAATTCTTGGTCTTTTTCACGATAGTTACGTGCAATACGTAGCCTTTCCTTCACATCTTTCGCCTGCAGTCGAATTCTTTTACACCGTCTCCATTTGCGGCGTAAATTGGGCCCAAGAGCACAACGGATGGTGTTGATGCATACATTAGCACCACTCTCATCAATGAGGTCGCGAAAGTATATATTCGGGAAACTTCTGACAAGACGAAGTAAAGAGCGAATAATTTGATGATTCAGCTTCTTGGGACGACCCTTCCGAGGCCTAGAACCAAAGTGGTTGAGTTGCTGCGCCCGTTTCACAGTCCGGTAGATTGTCTGCCGAGTACACCGAAATTCCAACGCGACAGCGGATGGACTCGAACCCAAACTTATTGCCTCAAAAATACGAGCCCTGTCGTGAGAATTGAATTCTTTCCGCCGTTGCTGGGGAGTTTGCCGACCTCTGCTTATAACTGTACCAAAAACTGGTGAAGAAGGCATTTTTTGATGGTGTTGTGAAGAAAAAAAGTATGGGGGTCAGGAGGGAGTGGTGTAAAAATGCGTTGCATGTTAAATTGAGTGGGCTGGAGTGGGGTTGGTGTACAGACTTATTGATCATGACTGTAAGTTATCATACCGGCACTGGTAATGGGCACAGCATAATCCTGATAAATGGTGTAGGACAGAAATTCAGTAATCCACTGGCGATACGCTTCCAAATTTGATCTACGATACTCACCAACCCCACCACTCCACTCCACACCCCGCCAAACAAAAAAACAAAAAAAAGAAAGAAAAAGAGAGAAAACACCTCACACAAATCCGGATCCCCAAAATCCACAAAGTAAAGCCTAGTCTTGTCCTAATCAATCAATCAAAAATCAATCCGATCCCTTCCCGTCCATCTTCACCCCCTCCTAGGTACTACCCGAGTATATCCTATTTGTATAAAGCCTCACACTACATAACCCAACACTTTACCCATCAATCAACGCGAACTCCCGCCACCCTCGCCAACCTCATTGGTGGTGCAACTCTGGTTAGTTAGCATGCAAACCGGGCTTCCTGCATGAGAGGTCACTCGAGCCAGTGGTGCAACAGGTCGGTACACCATGTTTTGCATGGAGGAAGGGGGTGCTGTTTTGAATTTGCACGGAGGTGGTTTTTTGTTTGGGGTGGCACCGCTGAGTAGTGGTGGTGGTGGTGGTGTGTTTGCTGGCAGTGGAATTTGTGGGTGGGTTGCGGAGAAGTGCATGGGCCCGGGTGGATTGGGGGGGAGGAGAGTCTATAAATCCTCGCTTTCTCCCGACGGTCTCGGGGAAGAAAGGTGGTTTTTGTGACTCTCTTCCTTGGTGTTTGTTCTCTCGCAAGACCTCTCCGGAGTTGGTATAGTCGAATACGCAGACAAACGGGTTCCTTCTTTCTTTTCCCCTTCCTTCTGTCGAATAAATTAATATATCGCATACACAATGCCTTCATTACTACAGTTCGTCCCATCCCTTCCATCTCTCCGTCCACGCTACAGCTCCTATACTGACAAACACCAGCATAATATCCACGACCCAAAAGCCCTCCCCATTCTACACTTTCCTCGCCGTCCTTGTAACGCCGATATTCTTACTCGCTCTGGCAGCGTATGTCATCACCACGGTCGAAACTTGGAGTCGGTGCCCAAAGGTTTGTTCTCCCTTCTCCTGCTTCCGTTAGCCCATGATAACGGGGGGTTACGGTAGTTATCGAGAAGCTACATCGGTGGGGTCGGCAGAAAGTCCGCTGGTCCTGGCGCAGCGCAGTGGGCGGACATGAGTGTCCTGGAGAAAGTTGAGGGTGTGTTGAGGTGGGAGGGCTGGTGGGGTGGGAGGAAGTGAGCGTCTGCTGTAGCAGCAGTCTTGCTGGGGGCGCGGGGGGGAAGCACCATGTTACGACTTTGTATTTGCCTTGTGGACGATAACGAGGAAATGTTTGATGCGATGCGATGTGGTGGATATGTTGAATTTTTTTTTTTTTAATGTGCTCCTCGGATTATTATATAGGGCGTTTCGGGTACTATTTCTCTCTCTCGCTTTCCTTTCCGTAAATGTTGGTTATTTCATTTTGACTTGGTTGCGTGAGTATCGTGGGATAGTGGGGGGTAAAGTACCGGTAACGTGATGGTTGTGGGGGACATGCAGCACGGTGTAGCATGTGCCAAATGCCCGTCAGGGGGTTGGGTATTCAATGTTCTGGGGTGAGCCTGTTTGAACCATAACTTTATGATATTCGAGTACCGGTACGGTAACGATTTTCGGGTATCTCGCGCTTTTTTTGTGGGGCTTCTCTTCTCTTCTCTTACTTTCCTTGTTGGTATGATATTATGATACCGGTAACTTAGTCTTTTTTTTGGCAGGGGAATTTACGGCGCCCTGCCGGTGTTTTCACAGGGTGAGCGGGACTCCTGGAATCCAATTTTATAAACTGCTCGAGCACAACCCCTATCTGCACCGCGATTCTGCATGAACACAAGCAATGGCAAAGGATTGTCTTCGTATCAGGTGTTTTTTCTCTCTCTCTCTCTTTCTTTCGCTTTGCTGCCTAAATTTGCCCCTCTTTCATATCCTGCTGTGTCCAGTATAGTACAAGTACTCGTACAGTACCAGACTCAAGCACGACGGGCAGTCGAGCCCGCACGCCCGTTCGCCGGTAACTTCCTCCTCTTCCCCACACGGCAGCTTCTCCAGCGTCTTGATTGTTGTAACTGCTCGGTACGGTTGTCTCCGCATGATAGGTGCGGTAGGGCACCTTATTGATTAATTCTACTCGAGTTCATCCACTTGCAGGTAATGTTTGACATTTGTTTTCTTGCAGGCAGGCACAGCGAAAGCCACAGCCCTGGTTTCGCCCTTTCTGTGACGTGGTTTCACATTTTTCATTTGGCTCGCCCGCGCCCGCATGTATCAAACTTGAGCTGTGCTGGGTGGGTATCGGGGTCCTTTCAGCCTCAGGCTTGGCTCTCCAGCGGCGCTCTGGCTCTCAATACGAGTGCATGTACTAGTAGTACCGGTACTTTACTCGTACAAGTACCACGTTTAGCCCCCCGGGCGTTAGAGCCAGAGTTTCTGGGTTCCCCTGGATCTGAACAATTGTATCGGAGGAAAGGTACGGTATTCATACAAGTACTCGTACAGTACGGTGCTTACCTTAAGCACAGTACCGTACTCCAGCCGGCCGTCATAACGATGGAGAAAATTATAAGGAAGATAAGCTCGTTGTCCTTCTTGATCAATAGACAAGAAGCTCAACGCCCACCCCCCGCACCGACAGCAGCGGAACCAACGGTGGCTCCAGCACAGGAGGCACGAAGAGCATCGCCAGCACTACTACGATTACAACCAGCACCAAAGAAATCATGGCTCCCGCCGGCACCGCAAGGGCCACCCGGCACAGGTCCCATCACTCAACTCCCGACCGAGATCCTCCTCCAGATATTCGGTCATTTAACCGCAGCAAAGGAGGTTGGCGTCGCAACACGCGTTTGCCGAAGATGGTACGTGATGGCGCTAGACATCCTCTACCGGAACGTAGAAATCGGGCGTTTCGGGCTCGATAGCACGGCCGAACATAAGCTTTTTTTTCAAGTGGCGGGTTATACATTCAAGTGAGCTGCCTAGTCGCTCTTGTCCCAGCCTATCTTTATACATGTTCACAGCTGATTGAAACTATCAAGGAATCCGGAATTATGCAACATTATCAGAGCCCTCACGCTGAGGTCTCAATCCCTCATCAACTCGTCATATGTATTCCCCCCGCAGCCTTTGTCAGATTTAACCTCGTTGGAGGAGTTAACCTGGCTGGTGGTGGACCTGGTACTTGATTCCCGCCAAGGCTCGCAGAAACCCTTGTATGGCCTTGTCGATGGGTTGAGGTTGCCGCACTCGATTCGAAAGCTACATATTGGGCTAAGGTACTACATGAATGCCGAGAGGGGCTTTGGGCGTATCTCTGGCGAGGATTTGAAAGGGAGACTACCACATCTGGAAGAGTTTAGGTATTCGAGGATTCGACTTTGGTCAGAATTGGTCGGCAAACGAGAACTCGTTGAAGAGGAGGCGCAAGGGGAGATTATTGCTGTGAATGATGATGCGGCCGGAGAGTCGGATAAGCTTGGGGAGATGGATAAATTGCCGGCGTTATTCGTACCTCCCCCCGTCTCTCCTCAATTAGTTCCCAGCAGTGTTTACTAACAAGAAGCACCTTTTCTAGCAAGCCATTATAACAAATCTCTCGCCCCTCACGACCCTAAAGACTCTAACCCTCGACTGCCCCCTCAACCCCGCATCCTTCACATACGCCTTAACCCCCACCTTGCAGCAGGAAATGCGCGTAAGCTTCCTAACCATAAACTCCTTCCTCTTTCCCCCAAACTCAACCCCGCCCTTCGGCCCTCTGGACCGCGAAGTCACCCAGTCCGCCCTGCGCACCCGCGACAAGCTCCTCCGCCTGTCAACACTTCAACTGCACGAACTCTCAGTCGACGTCTCGGACGAGGCGGCGCGCAGAATCGCAACAACGGACGATGAGAACGCCTCGGACATGCCCCCATACCTTCCTAACGTCTCGACCTTCCACCCGCGCCGAAACCAAGCCAGGGAGAAGCTAGCCACGCTTAGGACGGGGCGCTTTGCGGCGCTGCTGACCGACGTGATGATTGAGATCCGGGCGAGGTATCCAAGGATATGCACGCTGCATGGGTTCGTCCCCGCGCCCGAGTTTCCGGGGAGTGGGAAGTGTGGCGATAGGAAAGCACACAAGTATGTCACTGAGAGGATTTACGAGACGTTGGAGGACGCTGGACTGCGCAATATCGCGTGTCTTAAGGCGCGCCTGGGGACTGGGAATTCGCAGTGGGTGAGGGTGGATGTGTGGAGGGGGGATGCGGGGAAGGTTGAAGTCGCCTCGTTGGTGCCTGAGGCAAGTGCCAAGGTTTTGAACGAGGGGGTTAAGGTTACGTATACTCATGGGGGTGTGGAGAGCGTTAGGCGCGGAGTCTTGGAGGAGGTCGGGGGGGGGAGGTGGAGGATCGCGGAGGCTTTGGAGCTGTAGATTGGGGGGCTGGTGGTCAGTGGTTGTCCTTGATGCGCGGTGTATAGACAGTTGCTAGGTATCTTTAAATTAGATGGAACATTCGTATTATGATATGATATAGTATATTTGTCTGTCCCCTACTTGGAAGGGGGCCTCAAGCATGGTGCTCTGGCAAGTTGTGCGGCCCTAGAGCTAGAGCGGGAAAAGCCCGACAAAAGGTGCCCCGGGATCTCGGCTGGGTGAATCGACCAGCTAGTCATCCGCCCGGGAGAGTGACGGGTCCACCGGGGATAGCTCTAGCCTGGCGCAGTACAGTGCAGTGCCTAGCGCAGATCTCCAGTTGTACCAAAAACACTTTGAATTGCTATCTGGAATGAGGAATGCAGCGGCCGATTGCGTGTATCCAACCGCCGGGACCGGCAACCCTACGAGCCGTGGCATTAGGACCGGAGTATGGAATTGTCTCGAGTGATAAACCATGATTACCAAGTTGTCTTGTATGCTCCTCGAGTCTGCCAGTCCCTGCAGGATACTGTAATAATCTCTCCAAGGGCGGATGATGAGAGGTGAAGGAAGGAACTATACCTTCCGAATTTAGTTCTGTGATGCGATGTAACTTAATGATTAATATTCCCTAGGGTGCTTCTACCATAGAAAGAATTCTCAGAGTCCCCTGACAGATTTTGCTCTCGCTCTCTGAGCCCTTCGAGGTGCTGCCGGTACTTGGTCAGTCGGGGGTGTGGCGATGGGTCTTTCCGCGTGCGGGGGTGGGTTTGAGTGTGGGTGAGTGTTGGGGCGTCGTTGGGGCTCCATCCGCTGGGGGAGGGGGTACACCATGCTCCGTCCTCCCACCCGCTGCTGGAATGGTTAGTCTTGTTGTTTAGGGGTGCTGGGGGGGCTGGATGTTTGGCTTGTCTGTAAATTCTGGGTGTCGGGAGGATGGCTCTTTGTGGAGGGGGGTGCTGTGTTGTGTTGTGAGTGTCCTTTTTTCAATTTTTTTCAATTTTTTTGAAGTGGGGGGGATCTGGGATATGGGAGCAATGGTGGCGGGTTTGGTGTGGCCTGTTTCCGTATAGTGAGTTTGGGTTAGGAGTCTTGAAGTTAGCCCGGAGCTGAAGGAGAGATATTTTGACTGCATGTTCACTTTCGGGCCTGCAGTGGGGTTGAAGCCACCGGCTGACTGCCCAACTGTTGGCGTATTATAGATTAACATTGACTAGTTGGAGAACACCATTCTCTTTTGGTAAGAGCCACAAACTAATGCTTAAAGAGATGGAAGAAAGAATTCGTGTTACTGTTATGAATTACAGATCTAGGGGTGGTTTCCGGGTGGGGTTGGGGGAGGTAGGTTGGCTCCGGTGCGTGTGAAGGTTTTCATTTCCAGTAGTGTCTAATCGGTCCACAAAATTTAGCTGGATTGAATAGAGTATCCGCAAGAAGCCGGTGGCTGAGGGATAGCACTGAGTACGTATTGTTGCAACGAAGTCAGCCATTTCCCGTACTCGCTGGACTACACTAGATATTTGCTTTTCTGAATCGTTAAGCTCGTGAGCGCTTTTCTAGGGGTTGAGGGCTGCGATATCAACCAAAGAGGTTATGGGGGTATTACGCCCCTCATATGGGCTCCTCCTGGGAATGGGAATGAGGTGGCAGTGGAGCTGATATCTGGATGGGAAGAGGTGAAGCCGGGTGAGCCAGATAATGGGGCCAAACACCTCTCTTGTCGGATGCTCAGAACGGGCATAGGGAGTAGTGAAGCTGTTACGAGCCCCCAAAATTGCAACCCCTGGTGCAGTACGAGGGCAGGTAGAGGGGAAAAGTGTTGGCTTCCAGCCCTTTGCTGGAGACAAATAAGGCCATGTTTGGCACGCCAGAAAAGCTCAGTTTTTCCACATTTTCCTCTGTTTTTCTGAAAGAAAATATAAGAAATATGGAGGAAAAAGAAAAAAAAAAACGAGTTTCTCTGACATGCCAAAGAACGAGAAACTGAAGCCCGGCAAAAAAAAAAAGGAATATGGGAATGGAATTCCTGCGCTGGTGGAATGCCGGCACTAGGTTTTTTTAACAGCTTAACATCCCGGTGGATACTTCGATGGATGTTTGCTATAGGCCATGAGGTTTATTTTACGGAGTCTGTTCCCTTGATATTTAGTCTCTGATGGTATTTTATGAGCTTTTATGGAGATACCACTTTTAATTCCAGCCATCATGCTTTCAAAATTTCCTCCTGTTTTATCTTTTAGGGCTGTTCAGTTCACCAAATTCACGATATAATTTAATTGTCATAATCCTAAACTAACTTCCACAATGGAGTAAGACATATTTTGCGATAACTATAGCTTTGAGTTTGTTTATACAAATCGGCGTAATGTATGATTAGTCTAAGCAGTGTAGGAAGAAAAAGAGGCCAGAATGATGAGGGCTCATTCTTTTGTCGGGAGGTAACTTGACCATCTGTATGCCAAGAGAGTTTCTCAAAAAACTGGGAACCTTTAGCTCTTCCTGATGAACAACATTTTACCAGACGGGGGGTTTTACTCCCTTCAGCTGCTTTTATTTTTGGCAGGCGTCCTATGGGCTTTCCGAAAAAGCGAGAAAAGGGAAAACACCATAACTTAGGCCTCACTACACTAGGAAAGGCAACTCTAGCGTTCTACCGCAGGTTCAATGATTCCAGTTTCTACAGTTATCGGAAGTGAAAACACCCCTCCGCAGCCCAGGCGTGGTCGGAACTAATGAGAGTTTTTCCCATTCCTCACTGCACCTACACCCCCGCGAGCATTACGATTATACAGATAGATGACTGTCAAATCTTGCAGAAGGAAAGTCTGTTGTTCCTTGTCTTCGTACAGGTCTGTCTAGGCAGGTCGTTTGGTGACCCCCAGAGGCACAGCGAGAGTGTTTTTTTTCCACCTATGTGAAATTCACGAACGATTTTAAACCTATGCTCCCAGTGCCACCGGTGGTTGGTGCTTCCTTTTCTGTTATTTTATTATTTTATTTTGTTTTGCTGGTTGCACGTTTTATCGTCGCTCTCCACTACTTTTTCTGTGTTATAGCTGGACAATCTCCTTTGTTCTTTTTTTTCTCTCCCCTTTTTGGTGCCTTTTGCGTGGTTACTACCGACTTTACTGATCTTGTGCTAACTTAAGGCTGGTATCATACAGGGAGGAAAGATCACTAGACGGACTTTATACAGGATGATGTACTTGGAGGAATCATTTACTTAGAGTATGTTAATGCACAACACTCCTATGAATCCAACTACCTGCCCATCCAATGCTTCACCCTGAACATCCAAACTCCGTCAAGTCAACAAGCAAGAACGCGTTCTATCAACTACATTCATCGACCAAGCGATTGATAGATACTGTAACAATATATAGGCATCTGCTTTTCCTCGTGTTCCTCGCGTCTAGAGTTGCGATGGTACACGAATCTGCAGCATTTGGTGAGTTATGGGCAATTAAGGCTTTCAATTTACGTCCAACATCAGCTAGTTTACTCGTACTTGTATGGCATTGTGGTTGGTCTAGTGCTGCAACTGGCAAACCAGAACAAGCCCCGGTTAGCTTCATGTGCTAACACGACAGGCGGACAGAATCCCAGCTGGAAGATCGGGTATTGTTCCTCAGACATTGACGGTTCACCCACCATAACTACCCTTTCAATATGTCAAGTCTCTGGTCCAGAATACATCACTCGGTGGAAAACTGCTAGCTAGCTGACTTATTATTCCACCTCTAAACTCGTTCGCTCGGAAGGTAGGTATTGAATTTACCCATCCTATCCACTTTCCTATCTACCAGGAACCTATCCATCCAGCCGCACGCCACAGTCTACGTCGCAGAGTGATATACGGAAGCCACTCAACAGCGGTGTTCGTGAGACGTGTCTCATATTTTCCATGCACCCTTCCCAAATAGCAATGATTAGATGATGGTTGTCACACTATCGGAAAGTGACTTTAAATCTCCCCGCTTTCTTCGGCTCCGCTTAAATTATTGAAATCTCATGAGCTCCCTCAAAACCCTTACAAATTGTTGAACCATTTCTACATTTCAGCCAACACTCTGCACAGAATATTATGGCCCGAACTACACATATATCGATCCACATGGGCGACCGCAATGCGAACAGTGGCAACATAACGAATAGTTTCAATAACACCGTATATAAGTCCGACGAAGATGCACAGATCATGCATTGGCTCTCTCCACTAGAACCAACTAAGAGACATCAAGGCGTGCGCACCGAGCGATTTGACGGTGTGGGGGATTGGCTTTTGGAAGAGAGCGAGTTTCGGGAGTGGAGGAGTAATGAGGGTGGAGCCGATAAGATTGTCTTGTTTTGCACCGGGAATCCGGGGGTGGGCAAGACATATCTGAGGTAAGTGGCGGGATTCTTTGAGAGAAGCAGATATCGCTGATGGCTAGAAATACTAGTTCCCTGGTGATTGACAGCCTGTGCGACCAGGCAGGGAACGAGGATATCGCCGTTGCAGGCCTGTACTGCGACTACCTCTCCCACGAAGAGCAGACAGTCACCAACGTGATGGGAGCTATTTTGAGCCAGCTTGTAGGTAGAGGGGACATCCCGAGTTATCTGCGCGCGGCGTTTCAGAAAGGAAAAAGGGAGTTTGGTGGGAGAGGGCCAAGACTCCCAGATCCGATGGAAACGCTAAGGACCGCTATTGTCCCACTATCGCAAGTTTTCATCTGCGTTGATGCGTTGGACGAGTTCTTCCCAAAGCACCTGCCAGAGCTTCTTGGGTCGCTAAGAGATATTGTTCGAGAGTCTCCTAGGACGCGGATATCCCTCACCGGGAGGCCCCATGTCAGGCATGATATTCAAAGATATTTCGCTAAGCCGGTTGTGATACCCATCAGTCCTAGTGTGGGTGATATTAGAAATTATCTGGAGATGAGGTTAGACAGGGATGCCGAGCCAGAGGCGATGAACGATGATTTACGGGCAGATATTATTAGGATTATCCTGGAAAAAATATCAGACATGTGCGTAGGAGCATTTAGCATTTCCACTATCAATTTTGAATACTTACCAACAATTGTGTGTAGATTCCTACTTGTTTCTCTAAACATCGATGCGATTCTGGGAGAGGTTACAATACGTCAGAGAAGAAAGAAACTTGAAGAGATGGCCCACGGCGGTGGACTAAACGACGCGTACACGGCAACTCTAACCCGACTGAAGGCTCAGAAGGGGAATAAATCAATTCTTGGACTGAAGGTCCTGATGTGGGTGTTGTATTCGCAACGGCCATTACGGGTGGAGGAGCTCTGTCATGCTTTGGGAGTGGAGATTGGATCTGCAGATTTGGATCTTGAAAATGTTCCTGCGTTACGCACGCTGCTGGCATCTTCTCTGGGTCTTGTCACAGTCGAGGCGTCTTCGTCTACCATTCGATTGGTGCACATTACTCTGCAAGAGCACCTCTCCAGTGATCTAACACTATTTCATAGTCCCCACTCAGCAATTGCGGAGGTGTGCTTGGCATACCTCAATTTTAGATATGTGTGGGACCTTTCCCCGACTATTTCCCCGGCTCTATCAACAGCGCCCCTTCTAGAATATGCTTCCTGTTACTGGGGGAATCATGCAAGAAAGGGGATGACGGAAAATGCGAAAATACTTGCACTGAGGCTTCTCGATGGATTTGATAAGCATATATCTGCTCACCTAATGTTATCGCACTATAATCGAGGTTGGTCCTGGGGTTCTTATTTCTACAGCGTGGGATGATCTAGGGGTTTTACAGGACTCCACGGGGTGGCATTTCTTGGGTTGGGGGGGGGGTTGCTGCTGTATTCGAGATGAAGGAATGGGATATGAATGCAACCGATTACAGCGGGAGTACGGCTCTCACATGGGCAGTGGTCTGGGGGTATGAGAAGGTCGTAAAGGTGCTGTTGGGGTACCAGGATTTCAATCCCAATACGGCAGACACCCGATATGGCCGGACACCACTCTGCTGGGCGGCTCAGCGCGGACACGAGGGGGTAGTAAAGATTCTTTTGGAGCGAGAGGATGCCGATCCCAACACGACAGACACCATATATGGCCAGACGCCATTCTGCCGGGCGGTTGAGTGCGGACATGAAGGGGTAGTAAAGATGCTTTTAGAGCGAGACGATGTTAATCCCAACAATTCAGACACCACATGTGGCCAGACACCACTCGGTTGGGCGGTTCAGCGCGGATATGATGGGGTGGTAAAGATTCTATTGGAGCGAGAGGATGCCGATCCCAACACGACAGACACCATATATGGCCAGACGCCATTCTGCCGGGCGGTTGAGGGCGGACATGAAGGGGTAGTAAAGATGCTTTTAGAGCGGAAAGATTTCTGCTCACCGCTCCAGTCAACAGGAACCAAACCCCACTGTTGCAGGCTCTCTAGAGGACATGATAGAGTTGGGCAATATCAATTCCAACACAGCAGATCGCGCTGGCTTGGCATCCCCCCACCCCCCCACTGGATATGGAGACGAATATGTAGTGATGTAATTCGGGGGCGATAATCTAATACCAACCCCACAGACGTTAATGGCCAGCCTGTACCATCGGGAGTCCTTGATGATCGGGAAGGAGCGTTGGACCCAACAATACTGTTTCCCAGTCCACAGATAGCGATCTCTCCTCAACCAAACCATCCAAGCTCCCCCAACCCGGTTCTATGTGGTCCTTGAAGTTCTGGTACCATACCCTCCAGGAGAAACTGACACTCACCCCAACAACATCGGGCCAACCCTCTCAATTGCTGTCTTGTTGGATTTTATCGTTGCCTCTCGTTTGTCTTTAGCCTTTCTCGCTTCCATCCTTCCTCCCTTACCTGACATGTTCTCTTTGAATTCCCATAAATAATTGCCGGGCGAGAGATCGGCGTAGGAAAGACCTCCGGCAATTCCGATGTAAATAGGCTTTGATAATGGGCGCCTTTTCCGGTCTCAGCTGACTATTTTCCATTTATCTCCCTTTTCTTCTTTCTTCTTTTTTCCTTCATCGCCTTTTCTTTTTTCAATGTTCCAGTTAGACTTGGTCCATGTCATCGTGTGTTTCTCGCCTCACATTCCTATCACTTGTTAATAATATACTTTCTTGTGTTCTGTGAATAGTGGTTTACAGTTCCTTACAGAGGAATGGGTCAGAGTAGACGGTAATCATAAGGGAGCCCGTTTTACATCCGCAAGCAGCCAGTCTACCCCCAGTGATTTCCGTCAATACTGCCGAGTGATCGCCACCTATCCCTCTCGCAGACCATCTATTATACTGTGGCACTACTGGTAGTTCTATATACACTCCCTTTCGCAGAAGCTTTCGCGAGGCCGCTGGGTCATCGCCCCGAGTGATTGTTAGCCCAACTTTCAAAGATAACGAAGAGTGTAAAGAGGCGGCCGAAGGCCACCAATTAGACAAATATCACAAGAAGATATAAGCCTCTAAGGAGTCTGAAAACTGATACAAAGGAGCTGTGGTGAAACACGAAGAAAAGGAAAAAAAAAACAAAAAAAACCAATATTTCGTATCCTCGTACCACCGCTTTGCTTCTATAACAGCAGCTAGACTACTATGTTTGCCATGGAAAGCCACAATTCCTTGAAAGATTCCGGAGGAACTATTCCTCGTAGGAGGGAGGGGGGCATGCTTCAAGTAGTTTTTGGCTGTTCTAGCATCGCGGTGGATCAACAGGAGAGTGCACATTCGACTAAGTTACTTGTTGGATTCATTCAAATATGCTTACTAAGATGTTTCAGGTCCTTACAAGCACTTCTGAGTATGCGGTAGACTGTACCTCATGCTCGAACGTTATTCGCAAGTGAACCCCAGCTACAAGCACCATCACTCTACAGGCCCGGCAACATATCAAGCGCTCCTTCCAGCAGCATATCCACCGCACTGCCAAAAAAATTGCACACCTGTCCTCCCCCTAGCCACACTCACCATCCAAAAGGGAATCCAGTAATTCGGTTACTGCCCTCCCTCAGGACCGGAGTGCGGTGAAACAGCAGGTTTACGGGGAGGAAAGCGTAAGGCTGGCGACCCGGCTAGAGTAACAATACCACTCGCGCAGATGAGAGGGCGCTGCGTGCTTGCTGGTAAGTTGGGGTTGGTTTGACGCCGGGGTCGGGATTGCGTGGGTGCCGTAGGGGAAGGGGAGGAGTGAGGAGAGGAGAAAAGATATATATGTAAGATGATGCCGGTATCTTTTCTTCCTTCCTCCCTTCTCTTCCTCCACTTCTCCCTTCACACAATTTTTCATTTCGTTTCTTCCCTTGTCTCCTTCCCACACCACATATTAATTCCCCACCTTCCAGACGAAGGTGCATATCCCCCTCCTCTCTACCTTCCAATCCCTAACTACCCTCGCCCTGATAGTGCCCAAAGGCCCCCACCAGACTCTCGCTGCCGCCGCCCCCCGCAAAACCACCGTGGAAAACCCCGTAAACCCAAAAAGCTACCCGCCCACGGATCCCAAACTCATAAGAGGTGGTGTGCAGGGCCCGCTGGCGAGGGTCCCGGACGTAGCCAATGATCCGGAAATGGGAGTGTGTCGACTTCCTTTAGTTACCCGAGCCAAGGCCGAGCGGAAAGCTATTTCTGCCCGTGCGCAGGGCAAGGGGAGTCTTGGACCAAGTGGCAGAAGCTTGTTCTGTCACTCTGGAATGCTTTGATGGGTGGGGGAGGGGTAGCGTTTACACAGGTTGCGCTGTTACAGAATGGCATAGTACTTGCAGATTTGGATAAGTGCAAGAGGGCGTTTAGGCAAGTGGGGCCGAGCGCGCTCGTACTGCCTGGGACTACTGAACCGCCGCCTCAGCCACATAGGCTGAATCCTTTTAGGCGGCATGGCTAATCGTGTGCCCATAGCAGGCGTACCACCGGCTCGGGAATTCATTTCATATCAAGATCACTTTTTCGGATCATTTAAGCAAACACATCATATCTCTGTCGTTCGCGATAAATTAGGGGAGAAGGAAATGGAGAAAGTACAAGTGTATTTAGTTATTCACTTCAACCCATTTGTGCTGTACACAAATTAGTTTGACTTGCGGTCCTCGTCGACGAGTAAATCCGTAGGTTTCTCGGGCGCACTAGCGTGGGCAAAGCCATAGTGGATAGCATACTCTTCGATCTCCTCCGGTGAGAGAGGAGGAAGTTCCTTTGCTGCCTTGACGTACGAGATCTTCTCCTCGTATCCCTTTGCGAAGATGAAGTCGATCTCTTCGAGGGAGCGGAGGCGGGTTTCCGGGTAGAATAAGTAGCTATTGCGCAGCTAGTCAGCAAGTTATCCACCACTTTCAAACGGTGCGCGGAGTAGTGGGGGAAGGAAGGGAGTGAAAAAGGGTACAGACATAAACGGCAGAAAGCAAGCATTAACAACAGCAAAGAACAAATAAGTGCCCCAGCCAATCCGGTCAATCATCACCGGGGTGATCATCACGACCACGAAATTGAACAACCAGTTAGTGATAGTCGACACGGCGTTCGCCTTGCCTCTCGTTCTCAGCGGGTTAACTTCGGCAGGGTACAGCCATGGCAATGGCAACCAGGTCGCCCCAAACGACGCAATATACAAGAACAACCCCACAGCAGCGCCCCTAGCCGCGGTCTGCGTTCCTGGAATCAAGCATATAAATGTAATTGCCATAGCGCTCATCTGCCCGATAGTTCCCCATAGGAACAACTTTCGACGGCCAGCCCTCTCGATAATAAACCATGATGTCGTCGCGAAGATTGCGTAAACAACCATGTTCACACCGCCCATGATTAGGGACATGTTCCGGCTCTGGCCAATGCTAGATTCAAAGAGAATAGGGAAGTAGTATATCACGGCGTTGCACCCGCCAATCTGCTGCATAAGTTGGGAGCTTGCGCCTAGGATTACACGGCGGAGGTGTTGGGTTTTGCCGTTTGTTAGGAGGTCTCTGAAAGATGACTTGTTGCCGATTTCGCCAGTTGCCATCATTGAGTCGAGAATTACCCGCTTCTCGAGTTGGGTTTTCGGGGAGTCGACGGCTTCGCCATTGAGGGCGGCGATTACAAAAGTGCCTTCTTCGTCACGGTCTTTTGAGAGGAGCCTATAAAGGAGTTTAGGTTATAGGCGGGGTAAGGTAAAGGGGGGGATGTACCAACGGGGGGATTCCGGGAGGACCAGCATTCCGGCGATAATTATCAGGGCAAAGACCACTTGGAAGGAGATAGGCAAACGCCAGACCATGTCGCCGCCGGCGAAGCTGACGCCGTAGTTGAGCCAGTAGCTTATCACTGCCAGCCGTTAGTTCTGGGTAGAGTCATTATAGGATGTAAACTTTACAGGTTCCAAATGCGATTGATCCTCCCTCGATGCAGATCAGTAGACCTCTGTTCTTCGTTTTTGCACACTCCGCTTGGTATGTTGGAATACTACTGGTGTTCATACCGTTGCCGATTCCAGTTACTATTCTGCCGATAACAAATTGTGCCTGATTGTTGTTAGCAGCCATGGACATTATAGAGCGGTGGTAAGTTAGCGGTAGCACCAATGATTGATGTCCGACATAAGCTGTAACCTGAATGATGACGCCAAGAATCATGACCGAAGCCCCAGAGATAATTGCCTTTCGACGCCCCATAGCCTCTCCTGCGAACAGGACAACCACAGCCCCAAACAGACAGCCAATCTCGTAAATAGCTGTAACAAATCCCTGCATAGTAGAATTACCCTTTGTTTCCGGAATCGCAGAGTTGAACTCTGGGGATGTGATGATCCCGCTCATGACACCTGTCGTTTATCCGCTCATTAGCTGCGGTGAAAAAGCATGCAGGAAAGCATGACCAACCTTGATCATATCCAAAGAGCAAGAAACCGGTCGTGCAGACGAACGAGACGGCGAAGCCAAGGCGCTCCCCACGAAGTCCTAAAAACTTGGTCATGCCGTCAATCCCTCTGGTCTAATCTATCTATCCACCAAGATCTGTTGTGGAGTCTGGAGCACGGTGGTCAGGAATATGGAAGGGCGAGAAGGCTGAGAATTAAATACCCTTAATCCACAGAACGCAAGGTCTCTAAATGTTTCTCACAGCTGCGCCGGATTCGGCTACCAAAATTGTCTCGCATGCCTTCTCCTCTTTTTTCCGCAGGAAGGATTAGGAAACTAGTCCTGTTCACGTCATTGACACATAAATACCCTCCCTCCCTCCCTCCCTCATATCGCTGCTGCGGTACCCGAGTAGTTGGTGGGGAGGAAAGCGTTTTTGGCAGGTAGGTCTCGCTTCACAAATCCCGGGGTTACTCGGCTACTACCCTTTACTTTCTTTCCTTCTGGGTTTGTAACGAGTGTTTTTTTTTTTCTTTTCTCCCTCTTCTTGTTCTCTTTGAGAGGTGAGCCTCATGAGGGGAAGACTCATGAACTTGTACTCGAGTACGAGTGCCATACAACTTTGTGCCCGGGACCTGGAACCACGTCCGCTCTCTTGGAAGAGGATAATTGCTTTTCCCCGCGCTTGGAATGCCCCAATTTCTCAGCAAGATTCGATAAAAGTTTGGGCAATCGGTGCAAACATCGACTCGGGAGAGAAGCGTTTGGTGGTGCCTACAGTTGAGTTTCAGAGATGATCACGATATCAACAAGCTCCCCGCACCACTCTTTCCCCCAAGCGGTAGAGGCGTAAGACTACACCCGCTTCTTTTCCCTTCCGTGCCAAGCTCGGACAAGGCCCAATTCAACATTCAGGTATCCGGCATGAAGGTAGTACTGTAGAACATTTGAATCTGGATTTGGTGTGGGCGCTCGGGTGTGCACGCACGATTTGCCATGCAAATTTTGTCCCCTGTGTCTGAGTTGATCATACGGGGCACCAGTACTGTACTCGAGTACCTGAAATAGGAGGTTTCCCCGCGCTGCCGAGGTTAAAAGACTGTTGTATCGTGTGCTTGGTATCTGTAAGATGTACGGTACTGTATCATACCACATGGCACCCGGTGTTTCATTCACCCTATGGCCCTATCTGCTGCCGTACAGAGCACAGTGCGATATTTCCCTTTCGGAAACATTTGAGCGCGGTGGAAGCATCCACAGTATCACTGCGCGCAAAGAAACATCGGTATCGCTGTAAGGCCGAGGTCTCTGCCGAAACAGGACTGCAGTAATGCCCATCCAATCAGTGGTATCGAAAGACGCTCCATCTGCTGTGATGGTGAGCCTCCGGAGCGCTCCAATGAGGCTGGCAACGCCTAAGGGCACGATACTGGTATGATACGGCAAACCAGCCCGAGACTAGGTTTTAGGAGCGGTTAAACGGCCCTTCCGCAAGAACCCCCGGGGCAGGGTTAGGGCTGATGTTTATCCGATCAAACTGGTATGTAATTTACTCTTACAGGGACTGAGCTTCTTTAATTGCTTATTATTCTGTGCCAAGACGAGGTTTCCCATCCTAGAAGACACTTAAGCAATGTTAGCTTAGAGCCAAAGCGCAGTTTGAGGCTGAAGGTGGAATTGTGAATATTTGTAAACCTAAGATAGGCTTGCTTCAATGCGTGAGGATGCCAGGTTAGCGATGGATCCTAAATCCTTTTGTGGTTGATTTTCCCAGGAGGGCTTGTAGAAGGAAAAGGTCACGATGGGGTTGATGGCTCAGATTGCTTATAGCACCTATAAGGTGTATAGTACTGTAATGCCTGTATCCGAAAAGGGTACGAGTACAGTACAGTACAGGATTCTGAATACGGAAAATATATTTCAGAAATCTAATGTTCAATTCTGATCTGTATCCAGTCATTTTTTTTTTTAACATCTTACGCTATGATACTGAAATTGGTCCCAAGCCCTTGCCCCAGTCAAACCACATTTAATGTCATATTATCATACTAAGTTATTTCATACATTGAATCCAGAAAATTATAATTATATAATAATATTATTATGATAGGAAAAAAGCTCACCTCGGACTAGGGTTGAACGTTGGCATCCAAAACTCATTTTCCCTCCTTAGAACCCTTTTACCCTTTACAAATACAACATCGCATGGGTGCATCCACCTTGGTAAAGTATCATACACGCTTTAGACGCTTTGCACCATATTGCTGAGAAGTGATCCCCTATTGAGAGTGCTACAGGACGCCCGGCACTGGTGAGAAGCCCTGCCTTTTTATCAGGAAGGACAGGGAATGCTCGCGCGACACTCAAAATTACAGCAAAGTTAGTCCACGAGCGATCGGTGAGCATAGCATGGCAGCTCTGGGATCGCGCCGTACTCATCCCCCCGGCCTAACTCATTGCCAAACCGTCATTTCTATGCCCATCCTCATGGCATTGCTTGTCAATAAAATCCTCAACCTTTTTATACCCCTATCGTACTGTATTAAAGCATAGTCCAAGCTCTCTGTCTTGCCCAAACTTCCTCCTCGCCACCCCCCTCCTCCCCTTCCTCCCTTCGCATCTCGCACACTACGGGCTACACACCGCACCGCATTCCCCCCTCCTTCCTTTTCCGTCACCAACCACACAAATTCACTCTTCACACAACGCCACACCACAACATACCGGCACCAACCTAACCAGCCCATCATGATAACTATCTCCAAAACCCCAGATACGATAACCTCCACCATCTTCCTTTCTAAAACCCCCACCCTAGCCACCCTCGTAAAATTCCTACAAACCCCCGAGAATCTACTCACCCTAAACCCGCTCATCGAGTCTTTCCACCCCTCATCACCACCACCACAACCTCCACCACACAGAGGCTCCGACAGCGAAGATGGCGGTAGCGATTTATACACCATAACCGAACGTTTCCCTATACCCTTGGCATGCGGGTTGACAATGTCGTCCACATTCACTACGGAATTCTCGGAGCCAGACGGAGTCATGGGTATTCTAAGCACCTCTAGATCCGGCATGGGAGTGGTTACCGGAAGTTTAATTTGGGTCGAGGACTCCGTTGGCGGAGTTACTGTTAAGGAGCGGTTTAAAGCTTATAGATGCCCGTTCGGCATGAGGTGGTTTATCATGACGGTTGCTGGGAGGAGTAGAATTGGGATGATGGAGAAGTTGGAGGAGAGTTTAGTGAGGTTGTGTGATGAGCAGGGGGTTAGCGGTGGGTGATGTCGTGCGATATAATTTTACTGGATACGGGGTTAACCGGGGGGGGGCATGACGGGATCAGAGAACTAGTACAATGGCACCTGAAGCCTCTTTTTCTTTCTCGCTTCGCTCTCTTGAGATCCGTTGGTTGATTGCCGGGTTTTAATTCTCAATATAATGGCACCCCAAGCAATCCTACCGTTCGAATGCCTGACTACAAGAAATATGTAAACTTCCGATATCCTTGTCACCGTAAGCCAACCTAACCCATCAAATCGAGTATCCCAGTATCATAACCTAAGTGACAACATTTAAAGACCAGCAAGACCCCAGTCCTATCTTAACAAACACATCATACATACCCGAGCATGATCCCGGACACCCGCGATCAACCCTCACGGGGACCGAAAAGAACACCCAACAAAAAAAGATTGCCCACAGCCAATGACCACTCCAAGGACCTGATCGACAGTAAAGCGATTGGCAATGCGATTACCTACAATCTGCAGATGGAACCATCAACAGGCTACAGCTGGCGCAGCGGTATTAACTTGAATATGAGGAGATATGCTATGGGAGTGCGGGCAGATGCGCACAGAGAAAAGGTCCAAATTCCTGATTTCCGTAAGGGAATAATATAATTGAGAAAGTAAGAAAAAGTATCTTCTTGCGTAGTCATCGGGCCAGAGATGTACTGAGGAGGGGGGTTATTCCATCTCGAATCGGTAACGATGACAGAAGCCAAATAAGAACAATTGGATAGTACAGAAGAAGTTAAATCCTCCTCTTGGCTTCTTCCACCACAATCCCCGCAGAAGTGCTCAGTACCCGGGTTCAACCCACCCGGTTTCCGTTCAGTTTTTGGATCGCCTGGTTGATTCTAGTACGATAGTGCCTTGCACAGCGCAGCGCAAGCATACCCTTCCGATCGGAGATAATAGATGGAACAAACAGTACAAGCGCCAGGCTCGGTATTGTCGTATGGGTAGCAGGCTTCTGGTTGGCGCTTGCTAATATCATATATCTCTCTTTACGAATTGCGCAACTCTCGTAAGGGGGTCCCCAAAGGACCACTATTGGAAATGAATTGTGTCCCAGCCACTTTTTTCCACTGAAATACTTACATGGCCCCTCCACCCCGCCTTGAGCACTACCAGCCAGATAGCAGACTTAGAAGACAGCCTCATTACCTATGCACCACCGCTTAGCACGAGCCTGTTCGGGGCGATCCGGGCATTTGGGCCCGAGCCAGCCAGGCTCGCATGACTAACAGGAGAGAGGCTCTATCCGGCTAAAGTTTTGAGGGAGTCATATATCATCACTCGCATCGGACGTTGATTTCTATTGCTTATCCTCCCACCGAAGCACAGGATTTCTATTCTCCAGGACTCTGTTTACAGTTCTTCTGGTCAGGCCTCTCATCGCCTTGCTCATACCTGGTTTAGATATTGTATGCTTTCTCATGGCTTATCACGGCCTTAGTCCCTAGATATACTATTGTGCAATCCCTCCGCCTCCCCCCCCACTGTGCCTATGGCATACTCACATTGACTTATCATAGTACGGTAATCTCCATGTTCCCTACCAGTATCATACTAGCCTCGATACGGAAGTTCCTTAGCGTAGTCAGCCCCCCACTTTTGCCCCATAGGCCCAGGGCGAGGGAGACTCAAGCCAGGCTCGTGATGGGCTCAATAATAATAAATGAGCAGATTGTGGGTTAAATCAGTGAAAAATAAAAAAGTGTATGATATCGTAACACAAAATTATATCCTTCACCAAATATGAATTAATAAATATAAGGTTTTTTTTTTTTTTTTTTTTTTTCAAATAATTAAAATAAGATTATTGGTTTTAGATATCTAGGGGATAAAGTAACCATAGAGATTGGAGGACCTTTTCTGCAAAAAAAATAACTATCCAAGTTCAACTACAGATTATCAATCAACTCGAACTACTTGTTTTGTATCATAAAAAAAAAATATATTCGTTCAAGTTACTAATACAGTACTTGAAAGCATCCTACCAAACTTCAAGAGGCAAGATAACTGCCTGGTAGGAAAACATTACTTTTATCCTTCAAGTTTCAAATAAAGATAACAGTATTAACGCTTAAAGTCAAGCATCAGGGAAAGCTGAGAAGAGGTGAGAAATCGTTTTTCATGGAATTAAAATTTAGTATCTAGTAACAGGTTTAATTTTTTTTTGAATAGTTAATTACTATTAATCATACTATCTCCTTTGACCAAGATGGGCAAAATACAAGATTTTAGATAAATAAACTACGAGTTAAAGTAGTTACCTGAACTGTAATTGGGTTGGTAAACAGAAAAGGTAAAGTTGATATCTCTTACAAAACAACTTGGTCAGGGAGATGGAAATAAAAGTACTTGCTCAGTAGCATATCCCCCGGGTGAATTGAGCTTCTTGGTCAAGTAATTTGCTCGACCGGCGAGATAGAACAAATGTTATAGATAGAATGATCGATCATGATCTGACCGAGCGACATTTATGATCGAGGATGATTGAGCATGATCCGCTAGAGAAAAACTCGATCGTGGTCTCACCGTGGCCGTCACTAAGCCAGGCTAACGCGCAAGGCTTTCAATATCCTTGAGAAACCCGAGTTTTTAGCAAGTGAGGGCTCTTTACCTCGAGCAGCTCGCCCCATAGAAACCCGTGGAGTGGCTCGCCCCATAGCGGACACCGCTATCCACGGTCTACCATAAATGAACACACCCCTTACAATCCTCCACCCCAGTCCGCCCTCAATTTCGATATCGTACCAAAAAACCCCACATCACGAGAACTCAAACACCCAGACTATATCTTATGGCAGCCCTATACAACAAAGAACCAAGACCCCCTCACAAAAGCGCCCAACCCCTACCCCCGGGTCCGGTATAAGTTTCACACTTCAGACCATGGCCCGACACATCAAGCCCAAACCCGCACTTGGTAAATAGTGCAAGTTTAGGAATGTCCCACGAGTGAGAGTACATGATTGACAACGCCCCCCTCCAATACTATATCCAAACTGGCAAGGTATGATATGATACGCAACCACGTTGATCATAACCCCCAATAGGCCACCGCAACCCCGGTTCCAACTCCACCCTTATCCATTTTAACGCCTGCCCGGCAGAAACAGCACAGGGTATTTAAAAGTAGCATATAGCTTGATTACTCATCTCCAAATCCCAGACCTACAATATCATACCGGGCGACCGGTCGAGGTGGGTTTTCCAAGTCGTAATAGTATGGCCAAACCCGCTGCCCCGTGTCTGTTAGGAAGTAGCCCAATCTTAGCGTCCCGGGGAAGCAGGGGATGCTCAGCATTAGCGTCATGAAAATATGTGCCATTTGATAATTTGGTAAATATTCTTCCAGAAAGCTACCCTCACAAATTATATTCGAAACCGCATCCCCTGGGTGAGTGGGCCTCTTTCAGTGTGCGCCTAGATTTACTAAACAGTCTGTAACCCATACCCCGATAGTGTCCACAGCCTGATGTTCCGGGAACAAGCTTTTCAGGGAGAAGCACTACAAAGAAGCATCCAAACGGTGTACGGTAGCACCCCCGCACCAGAAGCAGTCATTCCGGATACATGTAGGGAGAGAAGCCGGGCGCAAGTTATTGGGACTTGGAATGTGGAATTGGATACTATAGCCTTTGGGCGGTCCAGAGGAGCCTTGGAGGTTGAACTCTAGGCTCCACGTGTAGATAACGTGCCAGCTAAAATATCCTAGCAGCCTTCGTGAACAGTTCTTGCGGACCAGCAGCCTCCTGAAATCTATGGGATAAAAAATTTAAAAAAATCGAAGGACCGAGAGCTTGCTAACGGTGATTGTATTGATAATCACAGAATGTCCCAGTGTGTACAGCTTTGCTGGGGTCGTTGATAGGTCATCCCGGTACGCGTCGTTTGAACGTCGGTTTCGGAGTGCCGGTTCATGCGATGAGTAGCCAAGTATCGTAGTTACACACGCCACAGGATAGAGGATGACATAAGGTAAGGGTTAAGCGGGGTAGACTAATGTGTACGCGGCCAGGTCAACAGTGGACCTCCCACGGAAGAACTACCGAAAAAATCGGTATCATAGCTATACCAATAATCTTTCACTCCAACATCAGAAATACTCGAGTACGTATGCTCTACCCTAATCCACACCTCGCAAGCATCTGACCAAACCACGAGAAAATTCCCAGACACCGGATCGTTCATTTTATACACCACCCCCAGGATAAATGCAAATGCAATATTGTTACAAATAAATCAAACAGAAAACCAATCGAAAGAAATGCAAAACAAAGAAAAAAAAGCTACAAGTACACCGCTATGCACGCTCGGAATGCCTGACAACACAACCAACCAGGTATGAATCACTCAAACTACTGGGCTCAAATCTACTGCTTGAGATTCCCATTGTTAATGAGGATACCTGGGTCGCCGGTTGAAGCGCTCTTGTCCAGGGTGATCTGGCGGGCCGTAGAGGTGACCTTGGTTTTCATTGCGGCGGTGTCGGTCTTCAGGGACTGGTCGAGACCTAGGTAGTATGCGATGAGGCCAGTGACGTCTAGGAATAGTCAGTATGGGAGAAACACAGAGCACTATATTAGGAAGAGGAAACATACGAGGACAAGCCATGGAGGTCCCGGAGATGGTATTGATAACATCGTTCGACGGCCCAACCCACGTGCTGGTAATCTGTTCACCGGGCGCATACACACTCACGCACTCACCAAAGTTGGAGAATGAACTCCTCTGGTCTCGAACATTGATGGCGCCGACAGAGAGAACGTCACTTCCCAAGGACGAAGCAGCGGGAGAAGAATTGCAAGAATCCTGGTTCTCATTTCCGGCAGCGACAGAGAAGTGAATGCCGGCAGCGGATGCTTGCTTAACTGCTTCGTCGAGGGTTGCAGAGCGGGTAGCAGACCCAAGGGACATGGAAGCAACGGAACCGCGGAAGTCGGGAGAGCTCTGGCGCTTTTCATGGTTGGTGATGACCCAGTCGATGCCCTTGAGGATATCGGAGGAAGAACCCGAGCCACTGGAAAGCACCTTGACGGCAATGATATTGGCAGCCTTTGCAAGACCAAAGGTGGTTGAGGCAGCGGTCCCGGCGCAGTGGGTTCCGTGGCCTTGATCGTCAGTCTTCTTGCCGTCAAAGGTGAAACCAAAGGTTGCGCGGCCATCGAAATCGATGTGGTCGACGCTGTCACCTATCAGTCTACGCCAGTTGATATGTAGGGTCGGGGAACATACTTAACGCCAGTGTCAACGATATAGATATCAACACCCTTCCCAAGGCTATCGGCTCCGCCGCTAAAGGCATAGCTCCCGAAATCGAAGCCAGAAATGTCCTTGCCCGCCGTTGATACGGTATTGGACTGAGAAACTCTCTTCAGCCCCCAAGTTCCCGGAAGGGTATCATGCAGTTGGACCTCCATCTCTGGTTCAAACATCTTAAGACCAGTCATGATGTTCATCTTGCTAACACAGTGACTCGACATGTTTGCGGAGAACCCCTTGAACGCAGAATTATCGTAAACATATTTCACCTCGTCCTTCGTCAATCCCATCTCCTCAATCAATTCGTCGAGCGTTCTCGGGTCGGAGTCGTCAACGAGGACATTGTAGCTTCCACCAGAGCCCGGAGTCTCGTCTGAGCCATCGAGTGAGCTGTTGCCCGTGTTACCAGCCGGTTGCGAAACTTTCGGTTGGTTTGGATTTGTGCTCGTAGACCCCCTATCACCTCTGCCCCTGCCCTCGCCATGACCTCCATGGGGCGCCGCCAATGAAAGGGCGGTGAGCGAGAGGAATGATAGAACTGCAGTTGAGAGCTTCATTTTTGCGATAGATTGGTTATTTGAGCCGTGGTCGAACGGCTGGTAAATATGTATGCACTAAAGGGAATGTATCCGTTTATTCTATTCTTTTACTAGCCACCGAGGTCTAGCATTCCCGATAAATTATTACCCCAACTCACGAATTTCGGGGACGACTGAAACTTACCAAAAAAAAATCCGGAAAAAGGATATCAAACAGGTAGAGGCAAAGAAATTGGCGGCAAAGAAAGACAGATCGACGCACAGCGAACCGACCCCGACTAGAAGGAATGTGATGAGGTTGATTGTGGCCTGGGTTGGCTGGTAAAGGGATGCGTCTCGACAGAGGGTTCAAGCTATGTAAAAAATCTCCAAATGTCTCAGACCAAACGACCACCAAGAAAAGGGAAAAGAAAAGAAAAGAAAAAAGTTTTGAAAAATAAATAAACAAAAAGAAGTGAAGGTCAAATGAAGGGAAGAAGAAGAAAAGAAAATGAAATAGCGTAATGAACCTGCAAAACACTCGCGGCGATCAAATGCTCTGCTCTGCAGGAATAGGGAACGTAGGGCAGACAAGAGGGAGGAGGGGCGAGGGTAGAGTTTATACCCCTCAAACAGTGCATTCCAGGCCAGGCAGTGGATCAGACCAGATTCATGGGGGCAGAGTAGAAAAGCAATACAATAAAGCCAGCAGCCCAATCATCACCAAGCAATATTAGAAAAGGGAAAGTGTCTCAAGTAACCCCCTACACGGGATGCCTCACAAGGGGCGAGCAAGTATGGTACAGTACTCGTAGGGTAAGCAAGCCAACAGAGCAAAGCTTACTCGTGCAGTACGAGTAGAGAGAGAGAGCTGGACCCACCCCTAACATCATCCCGGTAAC